GTGCGGCCGGGCTTGCACGTGGCACGGGCACCGTAGCCAGCCCGTGCCCCTTTAAGGGGTCCAGGGCCGGGAGGGAGACAGACGAGTTTCCCTGGTGTTGGCCAGAGTGGCCACCAGGGAAACCTGGGGAGGGCTAGTCTCCCACTAGTTCGAATTAAGGAGCTACACACCCCTTAATTCGAACTAGCTAGTTCGAACTAGGCTTAATCCTCGTGGAATGAGGATTACCTAGTTCGAACTAAGCGCTCCGTTAGTTCTAATTAAATTCGAACTAACGGAGTGCTAGTGTAGCGCCTATGAAAGTTAGTTCGAACTAACGTCTGTTAGTTCGAATTAACTTTGTAGTGTAGACATACCCGAAAGAGGGAGTAAGCAGATAGCAAGAGATTGCACTCCACAATTTGCTTACCTTTTCCCAATAGTTTTTTCGGAAGAGGCTTTTCCCAAATTTGGCGCGTCTACACAGTGACAAATTTCAGGAAAACCTCCTCTTTTGGCACATCCCTTCTTCCTCATACACTGAGGTTTACAGGAATGGCGAAAGAACGTGTCTTTTTATCCCTGAAAAACCCCATTGTGTAGACATAGCCTTGTTCTCTGGTCAGCCTGTGAGGGACCTTTACTTATCAAGCTGCAGTAGGAGCCTGCATCCACACTACAGGTAGGAGGAGTTATTTTTTTGAGAAAAACTCATTTGAGTTCTGCCCTACACCACCCCCACCCACCCCCCTGCTATGCAAGCCAAACTCCGGCTGCCACATGGGGGGATGCCTATGGTGAAGCTGGAAATGTTATTCCCAGCTCGGGTAGATGTAGTGGCTTAGCAATTGAAAACTGAAGCAGAGCCATGAGGGCGCGGGGCTGAGCTGGCTGCCCCAGCGATACCTAGAGCCCTGGAGGGAGGATGTGTACATCAGCCGGGAATTACACCTGCAGCCGGCTGCAGTCCAGCCCAGCGAGGCAAACAAGGGCCCCGGGGCGCTACCCCGCGCTAGCCGGCTGGCGCGGCGAACCCTGGAGAGAGCCGCTGCTCCCCGTGTCTCATTCATGCAGGAGCAGGGGAGGGAAGGGGCGTGCTCGAGCGCTTCCTGTGGAAATCCCGAAGCCTCCAGCTCCTCCCTGCGTGTGTGTCTGAAGGCTGGGGACCGGCTGAGGCGCAGGCCGGCCCCGCCTGCGC